CGTTTAAAACTAGTTCAAGCCTGTTTTTTTTTTTTAAACTTCTTGCCTATATCAATTTTTTTTTTTCCCATTTTGCACACATGCTTATGTTTAAGCTTGAAGATTAGTTAGTCCCCCCCAACCCCCCTCCAACGCATTATATGTTTTGGTAAAAACGAGACTGTAGAATCAAATGGCGGCAGTTACACCAATATTGTGGGACACTTTTTTTTTTTTTACTGTTTATCGAAACCCACATTTTCATTAAATACTCAACTTAATTTTAGTACACATATATTAACCAATTTTTTGGTAGAATACAAAAGATGAAAGCCGAGTAAATTCATCACATGCCGAGACTTTTTGCCTGCCCGTGAAACAGCAATTCTAACTATGACTGTACTCAAAATTGTCTATCGTTGACATCTTAAAAGCCTTTAGAGGTTACCAATTTATAGTAAACTGTGGATAATGAGCCCAGAATTCTTGCTCTCTAGTGTTCCCAGAGGTACCTAGCATGCCATAATTATAGTTTTGTACATAGGCACACATTACAACATAAAACATTTTACATTTTTTTTGTTTATTTTAAATAAGCTTTTTAACTTTTGAAACTTCTGAGGGAGTGTAAATTACCTAGCAACTTGGAGTCTGTTTACAGGTTTGTGCTGTTGGACATGCTTGCGTCCGTGGCAGTGAGAGAGTTAATGCCAATAGTCTGAGCACGTGTGTGTCTCAACCTAAAAGAAAAAAAAATTCTCATCCATTTAGGGACATCATATGAGTTCGGGTTATACTGCCGCCTACAAGAGTATTGGACACTGTCAAACAAAATATGTATTCCAGCCCAGGATAGTCCCCCTCCTACTTCCAGGATGGCTTATTTTCTGCTACTGTTTTAGGAGGATGGACGTTTTCTTCTCGGCTATGCTTGGTCTCTGTGTCTAACTTTTTTTTTCCGCTTGAAAATATTTTCTTCAATTCTTCTTTTTATTTCCTCTTCAATTAAGTTTATTTGTTACATTGCTAAAGCTGGACTCTACTATTGCAGTTATCTGGAATACTTTGGACACCTCTTGCTATCTGACCCTCATGCACTAACAGTTGGCTGAGTTTTTGTGAGTACCTGAGGCCTTGCCTCATATTCTGAGTGTATTTGCATCACTGCCACAAGGTCGCAATATGTCTGTATGTAGACTACCTACCCATTGTGGCTCACTGAAATGCCACGTATTGAGATCCTACGAGGGGGTTCTATCTCTGTCATTGACAATGTTCAGGTTGCCGGTATGTTTCCTGTTGGGAAATTGTGGTTTGTTCAGTTAAGGTTGACCATTTTCAAGCTTTGGTCTAGTTGGTGTCTCCTTCCCATGTTGAGACATACCTCACTGGTTAAGTACCTTTCTCCCTCTCTCCCCCTTCATCAGGTTTTGGTCTCCTGGGCAGCTCTTTACCTCCAAGCAGTTATTGTTCACATTGAGCCTGTTAGCGGTTGTTTGCTGTTGCCCTCCCCTCAGTTGGTACTGCTTTTCAATGTCCCGAATCGTTAATGACTACGTGTCCCTGGGTGAGCAGAAAAATTAGATTTTTGTACTCGTTTTGTAAAGTCCTTTTCTTGTAGTCATTGAGGGAGCCAGGTCCCACTACTGTTATAATCCATGGTACTGCTTGCTTCAAAACTGAGGCATGTTTTACCGTATATACTCGAGTATAAGCCGAGTTTTTCAGCCCATTTATTCACATACATGAATCAATTTGGTATTAAACCCTCATTTGTTTTTGCATATATCTACTAATGGCAAGCTGTAGATATATGCAAAATGATTTTTTTTTAAAAACACATTTTTGAAAGGGTTAATACTTATGTCTCCGCCATGCGCTCCTGTCCGAACATCTGAACATTTTCTCGGGCGGCCGCAAAGGATCTTGGGGCGGGCGCATGCGCAGTTCAGATCTTCGGCCCGGAGACGAGGAGAGACAGAGTCTATGGAGCAGCGTGCAACCCGCCCAGACTCTGTGGGACATCAGAGAAGTGGAGGACAGAGGAGTCAGCGCGGGATCGGAGACCCGCACCAGCGTTGGAGGGACAGCTAAAAACTACAGGAAAGATGATCGGATTAAGAGGCATCATTTACGGTAAGTCCCTACATTAGCACTCACTGTGGGGGGACACTTTTGCCCTTAATGTCACTTTAACATATGTACAGCTGCACAGCTTTGGAAACCCAAAGGCTTAATTTATTGAATTTTGTCTACCTAGCCTAATGTAATAAAAGGGATAGATTTTTAGACTACATGTTAGTTTGCATGTAATTAATGATTTGAGATTAAGAATGTGAACAAATGAGATGCTTATTTTGTTTTAGAGCTCTTCCTTTTTTTTTTTTTTCTCAAATAGATGTTTATTGAGATTTAACAGAGAAAACAATCATTATCTTGTCACAGTATACAAAACTGCCTGTGGCAGGGATGTCAACATATTCAATATAGCACTTGGTGCAAAAAACATAACATTGTAGTCTAAAAAGACAATGATAAACCTAATGGAGAGGTTACAGTGTGGAACTCAGTAACTATAATATTCAATCCTTCAAATAACTGACCGAGACAGGTCTAGCTTGCTTCTAGCTAAAGGGTTAGATCTCTAGACAAAGAAACTTCATTTCCAATGGTGTATATTGGTAGAACTGTCCTTCCTGTTAACCTTATGTAGTGTTGGGCATCAAAGCTGAACACCGTGCAAGGTAACATATTGCTACAGGCAACAATAAGTCAAACAACTCTTCCTTTTTTTTTAATGTGAATTAACATTATATTTTTACTTTTCTATTCCAGCACACATGACTTTGATCCAGATTCTTACATAATCCCGTATGTTATCCTTTCCTTAAAAACATTTGCTCCTCAAGTACACAGCCTCTTGCAGACACATGAGGGCACTGTTCCTCTCTTTAGGTATGTACACTTTTCATTTTCTGTAATTCTTTTTTATTTTTTGCAACCACCCAGTTACTGTGAAATGTATTTGCTGTGGTTAAAAGGTTACAACTGCAAAAATGATTTATATAAAGTTGTTATTCTCTCTGTCTGGCGCTCTCTGTCGCTATCTCTTCCATCATTACATTCTAGAATTTGCCTGTTTTTCTGTGTTTTAATACTTGCTGAATCATCAGTATTTAGCACGTCAAACTGAGTAGAGAACATATCTGTATACTTGCTTCAGGTTGGTGTCTCAGAGTATTGAAGCCAGTGAATCACTGTAAGCTGTAGTATGTAGTGAGCATTTATGTAAAACTACTATACTTTCTCTAGTCGCCTTCCAGGACAGCATCAGAGAAATAGGCTCCTCCTGCCGGAACAGGAAACGCATCACCCACACCTAATAAAAAAAGGGATCACATGCCCTGCATACCTCAGTCTTTTTTGTGTTTCCTCCGGCCAAGCAGGACATCGTAACGTTTGTTGTTTTCCGCTAAAGGCCTTCGCGCTGGTGAGCAGTGGCCTCCCAGGCATGGGTACTATTTTCCAGGGACAGTGGACCTGAGCGATCCAGGGTCTGTTTCCAGGGCAGCCCCCATCTGGCATCTAAATTCTGTCTTTTCTTCAGCCTGAGGTTTCCTATGTGATCTATGGCAACCATCCTCCTGATGTAATAGGTCGCAGTGTGGCCTCCCCGTCAGTTGCTGCTTCCCTATGAAAAACTCCATGTGGTGCTCTTACCAGGTCTGGGACGGACTTAAGCAATGGCTCCCAGCAGTGACCAGGCAGGGGTTGCCCATCTGTCGGGGTCTCTGTTGGCCACCATCAGATTTCCCTCGTAGGATCGTTTGCTGGGGTCTAGACGGTAACAGTATGGCGGTCGGCGGATGCGGCACCGCCGGAAGTGACGTCACAATGTGACATAATTTCGGACTGCCGATCCTTCGGCCGGAACAGGAGGACGCTCGGCCATGCCACAGTGAAGGAAGACAGGGTGCCTGGATGATGGGGTAAGCAGCAGGACGCAGTACCCTTGTGGTCCCCCACACCAGCAAGGTGGGGGCATCAGGAGTGGTGTGCTGGAGTCAAGGGTGCAGAGTTCTGCATGCACTGACTCAGTTGTCACAGCAGAGTTGTCTGATCTGGTGGATCCATCTGCTAGCAGCTCCAAGGTAGGAAAATGGTATTCAATCCTACCCTTCTTTCCCTCCTATGTATGGGGCTTTTTTACATTAGAGGTGAATCAGTGCATTTGTTTGTATGGCTTTGGGGCTGATCTGTGTGTTCAACAGAGGCGCTAGTTTGGTGTTTTGCAAACCAAGGCCTCTAAAGGAAGAATGCTCTCATCAGTCAGCACACATGGCAAAACTAACCGATGTGCAGCCTGCAACATTAAATATCCCTCTTCTTCCAAAAAAAACACTGTGCCAATCCTATGTGGGTAAGCTAGTGGCGGATGAATCCTCAGGCATGTTTACAAGCTTGATAAGACTGTATGAGGGAAGAGATGTCATCGATACTTAAATCATCCCGCACAGTAATTCAGGTTGTAGGAATGATTGGGAGCCAGTCTCTTGCTCAGGGACCTTCTGGTTCAGAGAATAAGTTATCTTCTAATCCAGGTGACATGAGTAAAGAAAAAAATTATTCCTCTACCCTATAAATGCAGGGAAGAGTCCTTCCTTCCTACTCCTGGGAGGTGATACTCCTTTTGGGTGTTGGTTGCTGGGGGTTGCAGTGCCTCTTGCTAAAGGTGGCATACACCTGCCGATTTATCGTACAATAATCGCAGGAAATCCCGCGATCGTACGATAATCGGCAGGTGTATGGAAGATGTGCGACCTTTTCTACTGTACGGTTGCATGTCTTTTGTCTTACGAGCATGTTTGAAAACCAGCCGATTTTTCGGCGGGTTTGTTGCCTGCTCGTAAGACAAATGCCGCACGGGCCGGTGTGCGCAAGCGCACACTGCCCGCTCATCATTGCAGTCATCGGAAGCCCTCCCCTCAGCGGTACCCAAGATGGGCAGATCGTATGAGCTTTTATTTGGCTTACAACCATTGCAAGGCGAAAGTGGTTGCGATGGTTATAAAGTGTATGGCCAGCTTAACACAGGATTGGTATGTTATTTCCAGCAGTGCATGGCTGATTGGAGACAAAGGCTGCAGCACAGACAAGTTTTTAATCTGCAAAGCAGCAACCCCAGACAATTAAGCAACCTAATTACTCCTTCCTACACGGAATAGATTTGTGGGGTGCAGGAGTATTGGAGATTGTTTCTCTAATTTCACACTCTTTGGCAACCTCCTTTTTTGTTGCAGAAGTTATCAGCCTAGGAGGGTTTTTTTGTACTTGCATCAGGCTTTTGTGCCATAGGTCTATCTGCACAAGCAAGGCAAACCTAGGTCCTGTAACGATTGCTTTACAGACTTGCTTTACCAAAAGCATTGGAATGGGCAGGAGTACTGGAGGGTTATTGCTCCAGTTTTGTGTATTCTCCTTTAGTTCAAGGGAGATTCATAAGGAGAGACAATAGCTTGGGGGTAATGACCCTTTCCTAGCTGTGGTGTAATATTTTATGGGCCTGCATTATTTTTTGTCAGGCTCTTATGCTAAAGGTGCCCATACACTTTACAATTTATCTGCAGATTTTCTGTGGTCGGATGGAAAACGTGCAACAGATTGGTTCAGGTGGAGATTACTAAATCCACACAGTTAAGTGTAGATGGAGGAATCTGTTGCACCTTTTCCATCTGACTACAGAAAATCTGCAGATAAATTGTAAGGTGTATGGTCAGCTTTATACTCTGCATTGTGCTGCAGACGGGTTGGTTAATATTCACTCATTCACATGTGTAGGAGTTGGACTTCTGATGGCACTAGCACATGGCTAAGGCTGGGCACACACCTTAAAACCATCGCAAGACTTTTGTCTTGCGATGGTTGTAAGGTACTTAGAAAAATGTACGATCTGCCTATGTTGCATAGGCAGATCGTACTTGCGATCGCAAGCCACGCCCCATGAGGGGCGGGCTTCCTATGACCGCAATGCGCACAACGGCCCGTCCGGCTTTTATCTCACGAACATGCTACACACCCGCCGAATATCGTACGATGCTCGGCGGGTTTTGAAACATGTTCGGAAGTTTAAAGTCGTGCGACATTACAGTAGTAGAGGTCGCACGGCTTCCACACACCTTACGATCGTGCGATCGCGGGATTTCCCGCGATTATCGTACGATTAACGTAAGGTGTGTGGGGACCTTTAGGGGGGTTTCTGTTGCTGTTAGCAACTATGATTTACTACAGTGTTTCCCTGAAAATAAGACACTGTCTTATATTTTTTTGCCTCAAAAAAACACACTAGGTCTTATTTTTGGGGTAGGTCTTATTTTTTTAATGTACAACAATCCAAAATTAATGCAAATTGAAATTAAATAATCCAAAATGGCAAAGTTAAGAATAGGGTGATCAGGGCAATCATGGGGTGCCCTACCTTTCCAAGAGCAATTTGGTAACCAATCGCTGGCCAGAATGAGCGAAGCACACTTTCACTATCGATTCCTCACAGGCGGAGAGCATTTGGTCTCACTCCCCTTGTGACAGGAGCCGGCACTATAGAGGAAGCATCGGCTTATGAGGCTCTGTTCACTCTGGTGCCGCCTTGCTTCCTCTAGTGCTGGCTTCGTTGGCATCGCTGATTCTCTTCCGCGGCTCTTCAAGTTCCCCCCTTATGCCACCACTGGCCCTGGGAAAGGTCACAACTAGGTCTTATTTTTGGGGTAGGTCTTATAGCAATTCCCAAAAATAGTACTAGGTCTTATTATCGGGGTAGGTTTTATTTTCGGGGAAACCTGGTCTGAGCTGGAGGCTATGATTGCTTTCACCCGAGGTGGGGGGCAGGTTAGGGCTCTTTCATCCCTGATTAGGTAAACTTAACTTATGTTTCACTTGCCTGTTTTAGAGATGGGGCATGGAGATGCAAAGTCCCAGGGTATGGGAATTGCTGGAGGAGGTTACCTTACCTTCAAGGCTTTACTTCTGGGAAGATATGTATTACCTATTAATGATTTTATGTGACACTTTACTCACTAGATGTGGGTGTATGTGTGTTAAATCTTGTCTCCTGTATGATAGCATCTAACCTTTTCAGGTGGAGATGTTTCTTCCAATCTTCAGTTTGCTCACAGGTGGAGCTGATACATTGATTGTAGCTGCCTAGGTGTGTCTGCCTCACAGGTGTGGTGTCTTTACTGATTACTCTGGATACAATGCAGAGTGTGCAGCACTTTCCCAGTCCAGGATGAGAGTTTGTTAGCTGGGTTGCTATGTTTTGTATATCTCCTGGACAGAGATCGCATACAGGAATATATTTCTGTGGCTAGTTGGTTAGGTTTTTTTTTGGCACATACATTTTGCTAAACGTTCCTTTCCTTTTAGAATCAAAGGTCGGGTATCCTAGTCTTTGGCTTTTTCCTTCGTAAACATTCTTCTTTGTTGGCCACTAGCTGTTCAACTTTCTTCTGTTCAGGTAGTTATTTTCTTTTATGGTGTATAATTAGTTGTCCTCCCACATTGAGTATTTATCACCCTTCTGTGCTACCTGTTCTTCTCTGGAACACCAGTTTTATTCCCACATTTACTTTAATCTCGCCTTATTCCGTTTTTGTTTCTGTTGGATGATTATATAGCAAAGTTCCACAACTGTTTGATCTCTCAGTGGCTGTTGCCCAACCCTCAGTTTAACTGCTTTTGGATGTTCCAATTGTCATCTTTTGTCCGTTAATGAACAAGACATTTTTTGGTACTGACGGTCCATGGTAAATCTTGCTGTAGTATTCTACCTATTATTGAGTATCGTAATAGTTTTATATATTTAGAGATGCTCCTTCCCAAATCCAACTGTTAGTCCACAAAGCAATGGTTGTTTTTCCTGCCCTGGAGGGGTTCCCATTCACCTGGGTCAGTCTGGAGAAAGGAAACTAAGGCCCTCCCAAGTCTACAAAGCAGACAAGGAAGAATGAATACCATGGGGTCACTAGAACATTCTCTGCCATCACTATAGGATTCCTGCAACTGGGGCATGCATTTGAACAAGGTTATCGGAGGGCCCCCATCTGCCATTGTTCACCTGCAATGCATTTTGGTGTGTGGGCCACTCTCCTACGACTAGATGTAACCATATGGGGGAAGCTTGACCTCCCAAGTGACTACACTTGAAATGAGCACTGCGAACAGGGCTAGAATGTGAATTTCTGCCCAGGTCAGGATCTGAATTACCTCTTGGCACAGCAGGATTACCTGTTCTTAATATTGGAGGCAGATCCAGATCAGGTGACCTACCAAGGGGATGATCCACTGACCTAGTGGTCTGTTAAGGTGGGCACTACAATGATGTATCCACAGTAAGTGTAGACCACTGTTTGACAAAATAATTTCCAAAGGGCAAAGTGCAGTAAACATTTGGGGGGTAAATCATTGGCTTACTGGGCTTTTTGCAATCCCCATTAAGGAAGACCTTGAAGAGCACGTGCAATAAGGTCATTGCGGCAGCAGGAGCTGCATCAGCTGATGCTCCAGATTCAGAGTAGTGCACATTAATAAGAGCTGCAATGGTCTCTTTAAATTCTGGAATAATAACAGATGACTGCAACTCCTCAAGGACCATCTTGTCAGGTAGAGGTTGAAGCAACTTAAACGCAGAGTCAGAAATAATTACTGCGCCTGATGTCCTGGAAGCTTAGCCTACCTGCACATAAGCCATGTAATCTGTAGGGTAGGCCCAAGAGCACTGTTAATACTATTGTGGCCCAATTAACCCTGCTACTGGCTGGTTTTAGTGGCAAAGTATTGTGTAACTGGACTCTTCCCCATTTGGCAGGGCTAGGAAGGCCCCTGATGACAAGTTAGACACTATTATAATAATAAAATAGGATTCCAGGTTATGGGCGTCTGCACCTTAAGGCATGGCACACACATCCCCGAAATCATTTGCGATACAGGGGAACTGTCCCCTCTGTCTAGAAACAGACATGTTGCACCTTAAGTGCTGAGTTCAAGACAAGGCATCAGGTACCCAGAAAACTGGTGGTGGGTGTGGGTCAGATGACCAAAGGGGACCAAGGTCCTCTGATAAGTGCAGCAGCCCAACCCCATTGTCCTGGGGGAGCATTTGTGTCCAGCAGTATAGATTGGGAGTACAATATTCTGAGGCTGACTTATTTTTCATTGTTAAACTTTACACCACGTGAGATCACTGGTGTCTTCTAAATCCAAAGCCTTGTGCCTTATCCCTAGTAGTACTTTAGTTGACATTTTAAGTTTGTGTCTTTTAAAACCAACTGGAATGCACAGCAGCAGCCACCTTTTGGTGTAAACATGAAAGCAGAACTATACTCAACGCCCCCCCTTCAGTGATGAATCATCCCTAAGCCCCCTCTCTGGTACCAACTTTTTTGGCCAGGGTTCAGGATCTTTGGCAATCTTGATTGGCTGAAATGATTCTGCTCCTTTTGCATGCACAGAGAATGTTTATCCCAACATATGCCTACATTTTCACTGAGCTGTGCATGCACAACTCATTATACATTGTCCAGAAGATTGCAAACAGGCAGGTTAGAATCATTGTCTCTCCAGTAATAGAAAGCCTACATGTTCACGCATTTTTGTTCTTGTAAAGGTACATTTTAATTCTATAGTTTTATCAATTGGCATCATCTTCCCAAAGACTCTAGACTTATCAGTTTTTTTGTTTTGATGACGCTAAAGTTAATCTTTAGACCTGCTGTGTGGTTTTCTTTTTCTTGTGTTAACTAAAATCAGCTCTGGAGCAGCCAACCCCCTGCCCCCACTTAGCCGTCAGCGCCGCTTGTCACCACCGCCGGTCCCCGAAGCGATTCACCCTCCGAACTTCCTGGTTGTGGGGGAGGAGATTGAGGGCATAGGAGCTATAGGCTCCTTCTGCCGTCAATTAACCTGTTGGGCCAAAAGGAGCGTGGCCTTCCATAGGGTGGGGTGTGTGTCCATGGACCTCCACAGCAGCTGCTTAGATGATGGCGGGACCTATGCAGGGGGTGAGGGGAGAGCGCTGTGGGGACCCACTAGAGAATGAGGAAGTAATGGCAGGTGCCTTTATTGCAAGACTTTACTCTTGCCTTGTTGTGGTGACCGCTCTAAATTATGGATGTCTCCTCACTCTTCTTGGTAACAGTGGTCACCAGAACATAGAGGGTGAGGTCTCCCAAGCGGAGACAGTTCGTAAGTTTTGCCTATACATACACTCTAACCTGTGTTGCTGTTATTATTTTTTTCCCCCCTGTCCTTCTGACAGTAAAAAAAATATAATACCTTTTTGTAGTAAGCTTAAAGTATAATTATCTGCTTGTTTTTTCTGCAGTTTCCCTGACTGCTATGCAGCAGAATTCAGCACCTTGTATGAAGTCGGAGAAGGACAAGGAGGGGTACCTCTAGAGCATTTGATTACCTGTGTTCCTGGTGTTAACATTGCAACGGCTCAAAATGGGGTTAAAGTAGTTAAGTGGATACACAACAAGCCGCCACCCCCAAATTCTGGTGAGTTTTTTTTTCAGTTTCAACCAACCCTATTCTAACCCCTCCTTCTTGCTTTGTAATAGTATTTAAGATTACACAAGATAGCTGGCACTCTCCAAAAAGTCCAGCATGGGATAAAATGGCAATTATTTTTGCATGTTTTGGCCTGTCCTAGCCTTTATCTTAAAACCTCTTTCTGTTTTTACTTACTCTTATATACCCTTCATAGCGATGTGGATAGGTAATCCTAAAAAAATTGGAGGTCTATGGTACAGAAGATCACTAATATTTTATTTGTTTATTTTTGCTTGCTTGAATTTTTGATATGCTTATTTACAAAAAGAACCACACACAGGCCACAATACATAAAATGATGCCACCAGAAACTACCTATGCACTAACTTGGAAAACCAAATGATTATAGCAGGAAACTCAAAACTATAAGAAGTGGATAAAACAGTGATCTGCTATTAAGGCTAATATTAGATGAAACATCCAAGTTTTTTTTGTTTGGCTTATTTTTAAACCCGCTATGTGACCAATAATCCTTTTGTGCTGAACCTTATAGAGAATGCTGGAGTTTATATTGCGATCACTTGAGGGGAAGTACAGCAGTGCACCACCACCTGCCAGCTAATGTCTTGATAAGTGTGTGTTTTTTTTGGGGGGGGTTTTTATTCAGATCCTTGGATGTTGCGGTCAAAGAGTCCAGTTGGAAACCCTCAGTTGATACAGTTCAGCCGAGAAGTGATTGACCTGTTAAAAAATCAACCCTCATGCATTATGCCAGTCACTAAATTTATACCAACTTATCACCATCACTTTGCAAAGCAATGCCGTGTGTCCGATTATGGCTACACTAAACTGATGGAGCTGCTTGAGGCTGTGCCACATGTTCTGCAGGTAAGCAATTTCAGAGTAGGGAATCTATATTGCTTTCTTTAGTGTCTTCCGCCCCCTCAATTTTTGCCTTGGGAAAAGGTTACCAATTTTTTAATGCTTAACTTGCCAAACCTTCTTTCACGTGTGATGTTCAGCTATCCTTCCTTCCTTGACATGTCACTTAGCAGATGGTTTATCTTCCCATAGGAGCAATAGGTAGCCTAATTAAACCATATCTTTGCCTAGATATTTAAGGGTTGTTCTCGCGTTTTGAGAGATTTCATTCTGAGAAGCACGGGTGGAGGTTAAGTGTTGTTTTTAAACATCTTCCTTTTTTTTTTATTTTTTTTTTTAGCATACACATTATTCACATGACCTTTCACGGCATTCAGTATGAACACTTGATACAGGAGATGCATAGAATTTGGATATCAAGCTTATCGGAATATATCCCCATACACTCATTTTCTAGTTACATCATCTCTAATATATCAAATAATGATTACAAACTTCTAGCCGGCCAGACTATTCATTGAGTCGGCCCATTCTGATCTCCATTCCATCCCTTTCTAATTCATAGATTACTCCCATTAACCTCCAGAGTACCCAGCCTAATATCAAGACTACCTAAGGCATAGAATGATGGCCAGCATAATTTAGCCCACTTGAGCTCAGGCTGTCATGGGCCCACCCCCACCTGTGACTGAACAGTGAAATAGAAGCAGCACAGTCGTGAGCTCATCTCGGTTAGTGTGCTTTCTCCTTCTGTCGGCAAGCTTCTCCTCATAACATATTGGCGCCTCTGCTGCTTCTTTTTCTCCTACTCACCTCTGCTGTCCAGTTGACTGCAAGAGGCTGATAGCAAGTCACATTCAGATACTTGCACTGTTTGTAGTAAAACCAAAGCAATTCGTATGCCGTTTGTCATTGAGGTGCAGTTGTATAGTGCTAAGCAGGCCATACAGCAAAAACTCTGCAGAGTAGGCACAGATGACTGATACTTCCCAGGAGTAAAAGGGAAGGAATGGGAGCACAATGCGGTGGTCCACAAAGTTTAGTTAATGGTTCTCTTCTAGTTTGTGTTGTTTTTTTTTTGCCACTCAGAACCATGTAAAAAAAATCAGAACACAGTAACATTTGTCTGTAGATGTATTAATTGTTAATTTTCTGTTCAGATCCTTGGCATGGGCTCGAAACGTTTCTTGACTCTGACTCATAGAGCACAGGTGAAGCGTTTTTCCCAAGATCTTTTAAAACTTCTTAAGTCCCAAGCCAGCAAACAGGTTATTGTAAGGGAGTTCTTACAAGCTTACCACTGGTGAGTATGTACAGCTAGTGAATTATTTATCTATTGTGTGTCTTACTGGTTGTACCATGATTCTGAGCTGTTGTTGTTTTTTTTGTTTTTTTCTTTTTGTTAACCTGCAGAATCCACTTTTTGCAGTAAAATTTGAGAAACCCTTAATATGTTTTGTTACCATTCACACAGTATCCCTAAACATGTATTTCTTCGCTTTCTAGTTGTTTGAAGCAGTTTTCCAAACACTCTACAAACAACTTTGAACTTTTTAGAATAACTTGAAAAATACAATATAGCAGGGTTCTCAAGGTACTAGCCCGCTTGCCGGAATTGGTACCATGCATCCAGCTGACAAGTCAGGCACGCAGTTTACGGACCGCGTACTTGAATTGAGGGAGCAACTACACAGTCTGCATTATCTGATGCAGACCGCATAACTGCTCCTGGTGGTGCTGGAGCTTGATGTGCGTCAGAGCGGCGTGCGCTCTGACAGTCTTCACTAAGCGCCAGTCGAGAGGAAGGATTAGTAAGGTCTGCACCAGCTAAAGGTGCAGACTGTACCAATCAAACACTGGACTTCCAGGGAATGTGTTCCCCAACCACCTTTCCCATTTATTTCGGACGGCCAGCACTGGGAGCTTACACATGCAGCAATACTTGGGAGATGGCGAAGCGCTGCAGAGAGGACCCTGGAAGAGAAAAGCTAGTCCCATGAGCCCCAGCAGTGACAGTCTGTAGAGTCCTGGATACCCACCATTCCTGGAGCCCCAGTAGTCCCAGCAGGACAGTGAATGGAGGGGGGCAGCACACCTGTAGCTGGGTGATTGCAAGGACTGAGATCGCTCAAACCTCCCCCCCACCCCCCAAGGGTGTGGACGACGGATGGAGCTCCTGACACAAGTGAGGAGCCCAGGGGTGGGTGTATAAAAGGTGATGGGTTCAGGGTCGGCAGTATGAGAGAGGTGATGGGTTCAAGGGTGCCAGTGTGAGACTGGTGAGGGGCCCTGGGGTGGCAGTATGAGGGAGGTGACGGGTCCAGGGGTGGCAGTATGTGGGAGGTGACGGGTCCAGGGTTTTGCAGTATGAGGGAGGTTAACACTTATACCGTATACACTGAGTGGCCAGATTATTATGACCACCTGACGTTTGTAGGCAAATTAGCTATAATTTTGCGCTGAGGTTGCTAGAGGGCCAGACCATTATAAATAGGGAAGCAGGTTGTTTACCACGACAGTAGAAGTGATTTTTTTCTGAAGATATGGGTAAACAATGCGATTTAACAGCCTTTTGAACGTGGGATGTTTGTTGGCGCTCGGAGCCATGGAGCAAGTAACAGCAAAACAGCAGAATTCGTTAAATTTTCAAGAGCAGCTGCTGTTAGTGTTTAAAGACTGGACTGTCAGCCAAAAATCTGGGTCTGAACGTGCGAATTGTGGCCGTCAGCGATTAGTCAATGTTGGGGCAAAGCGGAGAGTGGCAAGACTGGTACAAGACAACAGAAGGGCAACAGTGCATCAAATTACTGCAGATTTTAATCAGGGATCCTCTCAAATGATCTCTGAACGCACTATTCGCCGTACACTGCATCGTATGGGATATGGAAGCCGAAGGCCTGTTCTAACACCTTTGCTGTCTGCAGTTAACAAGATAAAATGTCTCCAATTCGCACAGGAACACAAGGATTGGACAGTCGAGCATTGGAAAAAAGTCATGTGGTCCGATGAATCACGTTTCCAGTTGCATCACGCAGATGGCAGAGTGAGAATTTGGCGGGAACAGCATGAAAGCATGCACCCCACATGCATGAGTACAACCCTTCAAGCTGGTGGGGGCAGTGTTATGGTTTGGGGCATGTTTTCCTGGCATGATTTGGGCCCTTTTAATTCGTGTGAAACAATGTCTGAATAGCACAAAATGCTAAAGTATCGTTGCTGATCAAGTTCATCCTATCATGTTGATGGCGTATCCCAATGGAGATGGCTTCTTCCAACAAGACAATGCTCCATGCCACGGTGCTCGTAATGTGCAGGAGTGGTTTCAAGAACATGAGGGAGAATTTACCTTGCTTAGGTGGCCCCCACAATCACCAGATCTCAATCCAATTGAGCATTTGTGGGGCAAAGTTTGAAGGAGCCATCAGGCAGCAGATTCCACAACCATCAAATCTCACAGAACTGGACTGCTATTCATCAGTCATGGTGTCAGATTCCTCGCATCACCTTTCAACATCTCATGGAGACAATGCCAAGAAGAATCGCCGCAGTATTGAAGGCAAAAGGTGGACGAAGTACTGATGGGGTGGTCATAATAATCTGGTGTATAGTTCAATTTTGTTTTATAGTATATTTTGTGACATTTGGCAAGGGGCCTCCATGGAAGAAGAAAATTGGTTCAGTGGCCCTCAAGTGAATTGGGTTTGAGGCCCCTGCACTATAGGAACATTTAATTTTTTTTTTTTTTATGCATTAACATAATGTACCAGGCCCACCCCAGGATAATTTAACAGTTTGTTAGGTCCGACAGTGTGCACATCTCTGATAATGAGATCTGGCAGCACAGCGCAGGCATGCTTAATTATGGTAAACATAACTCCCCTTCTCTCTCCCCTACTCCCCCCAAACCCCCCCTCAGTCAACAGTTTATAGAAGGGGGAAGCTAAGCAAAACTTTTAGTGCTATTTTCAGCACCAGATAAAGGTAACAGTTTTTTTTTTTTTTTTTACTAGTTTCTAAATTATACTATGTTAATGGGAACCTGTAACAAAATAAAGTAGGTGTCATCCCAATTTGGTTGCACAAGTGGAAAGCACTTTAAATGATCCCTTTGATGAATTCTTTGGCTGTACTTCATACTTTTGTGACTTCAACTTCAAAGAGCTTATGAATAGGGGAATAGAAGCCCAGCTACTTCAAGCAAGAGAACAGCTCCGTACCCTTTGTAATGTCAGAGCTAAATCTGCGCTACTCAAGTGTCGTCGAAACTTTTATGAGTACGGCAATCAGTGCGGCAAATATCTAGCGAGGGCTGTCCGCAAACAGGCACGAACATTCATATCATCGATTAATACACCCTCGGGAGCTAAATCCTCACTTACAACCGATATTGCGGACGCCTTTGTTAATTATTATAAAACTCTTTACAATATACCACAATCTTCGACTACTCAGAGCGCCTCAGCCCATCTATCTCGTATAAAAAGCTATATCGAGGACTCGGGTATTCCTTCACTTACACCACAAGCTAGCTCGTTAATGGAATCCCCTATATCGGCAGTGGAACTGGAGACAGCTCTTAAACTTACCCAACCCGGCAAAGCACCGGGTCCAGACGGCTACTCGCTGACATATTACAAACGGTACCTTCCCTTACTAGTAACCCCATTCTTGAATGCCCTTAACTCATTACGCACAGTCCAAAAACCTCCGCCTGACTCCCTTAGGGCTTACATCACGGTAATACCTAAGGAAGGGAAGGATCCGTCCTTATGCCCTAGTTACAGGCCAATATCACTTCTGAATGTGGACATTAAACTTTTCGCTAAAATCCTATACCTACGTCTTGTCCCCCATCTGGGGGAATCTTGAATGCCCTTAACTCACTACGCACAGTCCAAAAACCTCCGCCTGACTCCCTTAGGGCTTACATCACGGTAATACCTAAGGAAGGGAAGGATCCGTCCTTATGCCCTAGTTACAGGCCAATATCACTTCTGAATGTGGACATTAAACTTTTCGCTAAAATCCTATACCTACGTCTTGTCCCCCATCTGGGGGAACTTATCCACCCAGATCAAACTGGATTCATTCCTTCCAGAGAGGCGAGGGACAACACCACTCGAGCACTTGGGGTGATCCACTCCGCCCGTTCGAACGCCACCCCATGTATAATCCTCTCCATTGACGCGGAGAAGGCGTTCGACCGGGTGGACTGGAAGTTCCTTCAGGGCACACTGGAGGCGGTCGGAGTGGGACACCATATGCGATCTTGGATTAAGGCACTTTACTCCGACCCCTCGGCCCAGGTAAGGGTAAATGGCAGTCTGTCGTCTTCATTTCCCATTTCGAACGGTACACGCCAGGGGTGCCCCCTTTCGCTCCTTCTGTTCGTGCTGTCTCTAGAACCTCTCCTGCGCACGGTTCGCGCTAAATTGGACATTCACGGTATTCTAATTGGCCAGACGGAACATAAGGTAGCCGCTTTCGCGGACGATCTTATCTTCTTCCTCTCGTCCCCGGATGTATCAATTCCTGTACTGCTTCAGGAACTGAGGAGCTACGGAACTCTCTCAAACTTTCGAATTAACTCCACTAAATCAGAGGCCCTTCACGTATCGCTTACGGGCACGTCACTGCGTAGAGTTCTTGAAAACTTTTCTTTTAAATGGGCACCTAATGCCATCAAATACTTAGGTATATCCCTCCCTAAAGACCCTTCGCAGACGTTCACTTTGAATTTCCCCCCACTACTTTCACGTATAAAATCGGACTTAGTCACATGGGCTAAAAATTCCTTTTCCTGGACAGGGCGCAGTAATATCCTGAAACAATCTATCCTCCCACGCTTACTATACCCTCTCCAAGCACTGCCAATACATATCCCCTATCCTTTTTTCGCAGTATACGAGCGGAATTTGTCTGGCTCCGCAAACCACCTAGACTGAGTTATGACATTCTGCGGAGACCTAAACATTTAGGGGGAATGTCGCTCCCGGATGTATATCAATACTATACTGCTGTGCACTTAGCCCGTATAGTCGATTGGAATCACCACTCCCCCTCCAAACTTTGGATTGAGATAGAACAATCCCTCGTCGAAGTGCCACTGGCCAACTTACCATGGAGTGTGGACAGCTGTCTTTTCATCCTCTTTGCCCTTCTTCCGAAATCGATAAAGAGAGCACTCACCAATAAGGCACAGACTAACTATATCAGAGGTTCTAACTGACAGCATGGCCGGCATAAACACCCGACTACCTATCTTTAGTCTCACTACATGAGCAAGAAAGCAGCCTCCCTCTC